TTTAAGGATTTTATTTTGAGTTAGAGTGTGTGATTATTTAATAAAAAAAGTTGCTTTAATCCATTTTTATCACAAATTTCACAATTTCTCATTAACAAAGTTTTAGAATAATTATTTTTAATTAATACTGTTTATTCAAATAACAGATTAATTAAAACTTATATGTTCTGTGACAAAAAATCTTTTTCAGTAATAGAAAGGAAATTTTTATTCAAAAATTTATTTTTAGTATTTAAAAATTGAATTTTATTCAAAAATTAATTTTAATTCAAAAATTGATTTTTATTCAAAAATTGATTTTTATTCAAAAATTGATTTTCATTCAAATTCCAGAAATCTCTCCATACATTCCCTGATTTGATGCATCTATCTGGTAAAGGATCCTTATATATTATGTGATAAGAAATCTTATTCAGAAATAGTAAGAAAATATATTAATTATTTAAAATCAAATTAAAATTAAAATTAAAATTAAAAATTATTAATTATTTTTATTTACATACATTATTTTTTGCTGTTTTATTAATTATTGAATTTTTTCTTACAGTGGAGTTATTAAATTCAAATTATTACTTCTCAAAATTTGTTTTTCTCAAAGATGTCGTGAAACCTTACTTAAAAATTTTAACAAAAAATGTTAATTCGCCATTCAACTTTGATTTTGGATGGCGATTGAACGATCAGCGTTTTTTAGGTTAGAAACTATATCAGTAAATCGTGTTTTTAAAAATTCTTAACGTTTGCCTTCCATCATTAAGCTTAATTTTAACAATGGCCACATGAAGGTCTATGTAAATATTTTTATTCCTTATATACCAGCAGCGCTGTGCAAAACAAATTCCATCACCAAATCAATTTCAAATACAGGGTAATTGAAATTGAGAATTCATTTGCTAGAAAACAAGTGCAATTGTAATTGAAAAACCCCAATTCCTAAATACTAGTATTTGGAATTAGGAGTAGAGATTAGATATTGAATAGGATTTGAGAAACCCATTCACTAATTTCAAATAATTTGCAAAAGTTATTGAACAAAAAAGAAGTATCGGAACATCTTAGCAATTAGAAATTTATTGTTGCTCAGCAGTTCAGAAATCGTTTGAGTTTTTTCAATACCAATTCTACTTGTAAGATCGTAACTGAATTCCCAATTTAATTATATGGAGATTAATCCAAATTCAAAAGTAGTCGGTACTGCACAGCTCGGTTTACCAGGGAGCACTGCTGATGCTGCTTAATATTCTAATTTGAACGTCTTTTACGATTGTTTTGTTGAAAGCACTGTCATTACCAAATACTTGGAGCCCGTAATTTAATTTAGGTTTAATATTACTATTGTAAAGGAGAACTTTGTAACGGAAAAAGATATAAGATAGGTTTGGTAAGTCTCCGCAGCATTTTTCTTTTGATCAAATAAGAAAAGCAATACTTGCTGCAAATGTTCTTTTTCAGGCACAAACTTCGACATGGTCCTAGCTAGGTACGCTAGGTTTTGGTGGACTCAATTCGGGTGTGTTTGTAGTTTAATGTCAGAAGAATAAATTGATGTATGTGTTAAAATAATATACTGCGTGCTTTTCACTGGCGTCATCTCTTAGTTGAACTGTAAAAACTTATGCCTTATGGTTTACGCAACATGTTGCTTAGAACCATGTGGAATCCACATCACTTCCTATCAAGCAGTATACTATTTGGTCGTCAGGGTATGCACCCTATTTATCCCTATATGCGTTTTTGAATTTCTAAAATTATTTTAATATGGCCTGTCCGAGCCTACATATCGGTAATGCATACTCTCTGGTGCCGCTTGATGCGCCAGTGGACATTCGCAGACTTTGAAAATTGGAATTTTTCATGTTATAGTTTCAAAAAATGGAACTGTTCTGTTAGGTTTGAATATATGAATTATTATAGCTGTGGACTTTTGCCTGCTGTTCTATATCTTTTATGTTGAATGTGTTGAAACCTCTATCTTCGTTTTGATTTTATTCGTTATTTTGGTTTAAAAGTATGTCATGGATTAGTCGGCCTTTAATCAAATGAAAGCAGAAGGTGTTGCCCAATATCTGTTTCTTATGATTTCATTCTTAATCTACGTTCGCCAATTTAATATTCTAAATAATTAATTATGTTGATGCTGTTTCGAGCTAGTATATTTAAGCACTTATACTCTTTTTTAACTCGAGGTGTTTTCAAAACCCCACTTTACACCTTGACTAGATTATCACTTCATCAGACTAAGCAATAATTTACCTCAGATCTGCATACCTCCCCGAGGAGCCTGTAACCATTTTGAGATTTGATAACGCGGTGTTGGTAAGTCTGTCAGTTTTCGCAAATAATTTCAGGGTTCCATCCTTTATGTATTTTTTGATGGGATCAATCTTGATGTCCCTGAGGATGTCATTCGTCCTAATGTACCATGGAACTTTGAGAAGTCTTCTCAGAGCCTGGCTTTGTGCAATTTCTAGCTGGTAAATAGTAGTAAATTTTACATTTTCTAATCATTAATTAGAATAACCTGTAATTTTATTAAATGCTTCTTAGATTCTTATAAAACATTTCATTTATAATTCAATGTTTAAATGTTAGTGCTTTATATTTTTAATATTTTGTGGTTATTTAGATAGTTTTAAATTTTTTAATTATTTTGTTGGTTTAAATTAGAAATATTCCTTCGTCTAAAAATCTTTCAAAGTATTTTGTGATAACTGTCAAAACTTTTAGATTTATGAAAAAAAAAAATAAAACGATTTGAGGGTTTTAAGTGTTTTTATATTAAAATTTATTAAAATATTTATGTATTACATTTGAGCTTAGGTTAAAAATCATCAGAATTACAAATAATAAACAAAAAGATAACTTCATAATAGAAAAGCTTTCATGTCAATTTTTGTGATATTTTTAATAACTTCGATTGATTACATATACAATATCTATATAATACATATTGTGTATGCATTTAAAGAAGAAAAACATTGAATAATTCATTAAATAATTCAAATTAAATATTTTACAGAATATTGTTTTTTTTTCCACATGTCCTCTCCAATTACGTTAGGAGCAACTTTAGATCTGTACTCGTATAAAACGGATTAAAAATTGGTTTGACACTTGTTTTATAACAACAAAAAAGTAAATATTTTTTCAAAAGGATTTAATTTATTTTATTTTAATTTTGTCCTTTTTACATTTATTATTTTTAGTTTTTGTTCGCTGTTGATTTGTGTTAATCGAAAAGTTTTTTGCTGTTGATTTTGTGTGAGAATTCCGTGACAGTTTATTGATTGCAAACAAAGTTTTAGTGGCAAAAGTACCATCGTCCTTTGGTTCAAATTAAATTTATTATTTCAATAAAAACTTAAAAAAATCATTGTTCAATATAATTATTTATTCTCTTTCAACTAAAATGTCTAACATAGATAAAAACTAATAAAATTAAAAATTTGTGACCAAATACTTCTGTTAGTTTGCGTTCCATTAAAATGAGTTCAATAAAATAAAAAATTTAATATAATTTTTTATATATTATATCAGTATTAAATATTTTTTTAAAATATTTATGCTTAAAAAAAAAATAGGAGCTGATAATCATTTTTATGATATTCCTTTTTTGACAGTTAACATATACTTTTGTAAATTTTAGCTACTGAAGTTATGGCTTTAACTTAAATCTGTTTAACTTAAATCATTTATTATTTTTTAAAAAAGATATAAATCGTTGTTGTATACAGCAAATTTTTTTTATCAAATACGTGGATTTTATATTAGTATAGAAAACAGGGAACATGATCTACCAAAGTTTTGAATGGGACGACTCAATATAATCATTTAGTTCCGTGAATATTATTTTAGTTATTTCAATCTGATTCTTTTGGATAAGATTTGAAGTTCTAGAAGTTATTGAGCTTCATTGGCTAATAAAAAAAAATTGTTGTAAATGTTGATAATAATCAATGAATTTATAATAAAGATTCCATCAAAGAGTCTTGTCAGTTCTTCAACGTGTTCGGTTTTTGTTATATCCCTATCGTCTCCTAAGATCAAAATGGGTAGCTGTTGAAGCGTTTTAGATACTTCTCTATATCAAAAATATGTGCATTATTTTTATTCATTAATAATGTAATATATTCAGTAGTCCATTGGCGTATATTTCTTTAAACGGCTATAACCGATATACCCAACTAATAACCGATATAACCAACTTACTTTAAAACTACTAACCAGGGAATAGCCTACTGAGGGGATGTTTTAGTCCGTATACTACATATTAATGTTATTAGGGAGTGGGCACACCTTTCGACGACGTCGCACAGTGTAACGAGTGCGGACAAAAATCATAAAAAATGAAGGTTATTGGAATTGGAAAAGCGGTTTACATATTGATAGGTAATACTTCTACTAAGAAAAATCTGAAATATTTTTCAAAAATTTCTATGCATGGGACCACATCTTCTCATCAAAGTCACTCTAATTAGATCTTAATTTTTTTTTTGAAAAAACCTAAGTTTATAGCAATGCACTTTCAAGCCATATATTAGTTTTTTTTAGGTACAACTCTGCATAAAATGCATATATGAGTAAAATATATAATTTAGTAAGTCCGTTAACACTTTGATTTATTTTGTTTTGATTCCTATTTTCATTTTACCGTTATTCTAAAAAAGTAAATTCGCGCGCGTGATCAGTTCATAAAAGTTAAACTTTAAAAGTCTTTTTCTCAAAATTATATCAATTTATATTTCTAATTTTTTGACAAATTACTTATTCAAGTATGTACTTAAAGAATATCTAAAAATTATTTGCATCTAGCTGCAACTTTTAATGAAATGTGATTT